ATATTAAAAATATTTAATTTAAAAGTTTAAAAACCTAACAACTTAATTAAGTCAAATTGAGGGTGGAATTCATTGCTTTTTGAAAGATACACAAGTTATGGAGAATAAGCTAAATACGCTTAGGTGTATGACAATTGAGCTTAAACAAGTTAGCTACAAAAGTAAAAAAAAATTTTTAGTTTCTAAACTAGTACAACGTACACTACAACTGTAGAATTAATTTAATATAATTCTAGTTGCGTATTTGCTGATGAAGTTTCAGTAAATACATAGTTTGGTTGACTTTTTAACTATATAGCAACTATGTAGCTATATTAACACTATAAATTTTATTTTTTAAATCGAGAAAGATCGTAAAATTAAAATCGATAATTTTCAACAGTTTTTTGCATGTATTGTAATTGTCAGGCTTTCAAGAAGTGGGGCATAATTCTGAATTGTCGTATCTAAGCAACCCGTAAAATATGAGTAAACAGAAAGTTTAATTTTCGGTCGAAATTCAAGTTATTAACTTCAAAAATTAAACTAACATATAGATTGTTATATCATTCGTTGGTGTATTTACTTCTCGAAAATCCTCCTATGACCTTTTTTCCTCTCTTCCGTAATATTTTTTAGTTTGTGAAACCGACTCATCAGAAAATTTACATATTATATTAAAACATAAACAACGTTTGTTTATAATAACAGTAGTTATTTGCCTAATTTCTTGGCAAACTACATGAAACACTTGCCTTCCTGATTAAAACAGTCAATTACAAATATACAACTATAATTACAACTATTCCAAACTACTATATTAGGCTATTGATGCGCGTGCAACTGTTTATTCGTGCCTGAATTTACACAAGAGCGTATGTTAAGACAGATTAACTGAAGGTAAAATTTTTTAAAGGATTAAACCATGAAATGCCGCTAGCTATAGTTATAGCAATGGATTAGACATGCTGCTTAAAGTAAACATAAATAAAACTGAAGTAGTGAAGCAACGAAACTACAAAAGCTCTTAAATATGTGTGTTATTTATACCTTCAATATTCAGCAGTTTGTTGCAGTCTTATAATTTTTTAAAAAATATTTCCTGATGTTGACAGCACCTATATTGAGATAAAAAATAAAATTTAAAACAGTCGAAGAAAAGCACGTCATAATATTATATCCATGCAGTACATACTACTTCTTCTATGTATTCACTGATAGAAACTGTTCAATTGGTTTGAAAAGCTTTAAATTGTTCATAAATGAAGTGAAAAATATGAATCATTCATTATTTGCTTTTTTTATCAGGTATCTCCTTTGATAAGTGATAGAAATATTTTTTCCTAATGTGCTGCAAATGTGTCCCTTTTACTAATGTTGCTATTTAGGGAAGCCAAATACTTGTAGAAATCATGAATATATTTTGATATAAAGTAACAAATTAGCAAAAGTAAATTAACCACAATTTTTATAACCATGAAGCTAGGGGATAGTTCTTTTTTGGCCATGTTTTACTTGAAAAGTTGAAATTGCTTAAATGATATATTATCATGCATACTCAATTTTATGCTATCATTATTTGTTACTTGTGCACTTGACAAGAAAGTTATCCATCATCCTTCGCCTTATCTCTGTAACCAAGTCAAAATTATTAAATCAAATGAAATACTTTAAAGTGCTTATATTACGAATTTTAGCCTCCCTTTTTTTATGAGCTTAATTGAAAATTTGGATTACTTGAAAAACTATGACATGTCGCTGGACTTAAACAGATAAATATAAGTTCCTTAATTTTGCCTCCAAAGTCGGGTACAATTTGCGAATTTTTTACGGCGCCATATTGATACTTGTGACGTAGATAGTTGAACACGTCTGTTTCCGTCAATATAATATTATATTATAGGAGGTGATTTTGTTGTCGTTTTTTTTGTCTTAAAAACAAATAATGACAGTATTTTCAATAAAATATTAAAAAAAAAGTTTTCCGGAAAGTATGGCCTCAAATCAGTGCTCAGATAATTCGAATTCGATGTCTGAATGCGTATCTGATTCGAGCTCGGAATCCGTGGGTTATGTCGAGCATTTAAACGACTTCGCATATGACGATGAGCCGCTCGCAGGAGATGGTGATGAAGTGCATACTCCAGATGATCCCGATGGAATTCTCCCTGCGACATTAGAACAACGAAGTGATGGCGTAATTCCACTCGGTGAATGGTAAGTTGTTGTTTTCTCCTGTTTGTAATATACATAAAGTTACTTTATAAACCACAATGCTCCCACGTTTCAGGTGTAATTGTCAATTCTGTCATACCGATTTGTTAGAAGGCGCATTAGAGTACAGATGCTGTAAGGAAATAGGACCAGCTTTGCAGAAAATGACATTCGATGGCAGCATTGAGAAAATATCATGCATAACACAGCATGCTAAATTTGGGCCTTTAGTTCATGAGGCTGTCCTTGAAAACGTCGGGCCACTATTGAGAGATAGGAATGGACGTGCTTATTGCCGCCAAGCATCACAATCATTAAATATGTAAGATTGTAAATTGTATGAGAAACAATGTTATCATCAACATTGTTTCATCAACAATAATTAGTCCAACCTTTTTATTTACTTCAGGTACTTGAGAGCTGTGGCATACAGATGGTTGATGCGATGGTTTTGTGGGTCTATGGAATAGGAGAATACTTGGCTTTTACCTGCTTGTGTTTACCACTTTATTCGGAAAGCATATCAAAGTGGTAACACAAAAGGTTACATACCATCAGAGGGGCGATGATGGAAAGCACTGTAGAGACTGTTGACCTTCTTTGCTGAGTTTAGAATGGTCAGGAAATATGCCTAGATGAAAACCAAATAGGAGATACATGGATGCACTATATAAGTTGACATGCAGTTCAATGGTTTGAAACAAGAGTAAACAATAAAAACAAATTGGTGCAGCTACTGAGAGGTTGAGCTGAAAGAATTAAATGAAAGAAAATCTTTTCTTCAATGTCAGTCTGGGAAAAAGAGAAAAAAAAATATATGGAATTAAATCATAGCATAAATGTAAAAATGGAAGTGCATACTTCAACATGCTCAGCTCCATCACTAGTAGATGGTACTTCCTCATCGAGAGAACATGTTTCCTTCAGCGATGGCTTATGGAGAGTATGTCGAATAATCTACAAAACTTATGTCGAATTTACATATGACAAAAGAAAAATTAACATAAACAAGCGTAAACTTACTTGTCTTCACTTTTGATCGGTTATTTCGTCCTGTAATGGTTCACGAATCCCATCCACGTCAATGGTTGGGATAGTATCTTTCTTCAACCTTTGTTTCAGCTTGACTTGCTCGCTCAAATTAAGATCAAAACAAGAATGTTGAAAATGCGCAGAACACAGACACGAGGTAGAGGAAGCCTCAAAACCCGGTCTATGTTTACGCACAAAATTTACCCATTTTCTAGGTCGTCACGGCTCTGTTTCTTTTTTAGGAAACAGATGCATCGACATTCCTTCGGTTTTTGAATCATTGGCGCAACTTATTGATTAGGTCCGCCAGCAACACAGCGTTTTCCTCCGCGTTTCTTATTAAGATTACTAGTAGAATACGCCATGTTGATATATGTGTTCAACTTTCTACGTCACAAGTCTTAGCATACCGATCAAAAAGTTCGCAAAAAAAATGCTGAAAATCGTGACTTTGAACGTCCGTAAAATCACTTTCACCAAACCAATTCAATTATAATTGCAGATTTAAAATCACTGAAACAAGGTCTTTCAATTTAGCTAATAGAAATGGGGGGCTAAAATTCGTAATGTAAACACTTTAAGAATTACTAATGAAGATGAAATAATATTTTTATCAGATATTATACAAAAGTTCACTTTTCTTTTGTAGAGTTTGTAATGTATTTCAAACTGATTTTGTTCTACAGAGCGTTCATCTTTTTGGTTATCACAAGCAAAGTCAAAGGTGATATAAAATAGCATAAATTTTTACATAATTGATTTTATTCTTGTCATTCAATAAAGCACAACAGCATCTAGAAATATTTGACACGTTCCACATCTCCAGTATTTGACGTTTGTTTAAATGCGTTTATAAATTTCAAATCGTTGTGATTTTTAATGTGCTAGCTTTACTAATTCATGGTAAAAGGTGGAAAAATAACCAAGAATTTATAGGTGTTTTTTTCAAAGTATGTCAACACTTTATGTTTGTATATAATACGCTTGAGAACCTGAATTTCGATTGTCCTTGTGGTAAACAACTAAGAAAATTTACAAACATTTCTATTCGGTCTTAATACTATTTACTATATAGACGTTTTAAAGCATCGGATAGGGCATTCAAATAATAACTATCACAATAACTACTTTTTTTCTAATAATCCGTAGTATATTAGAGTTGAAACAGATAAACTATGTGCAATTGTATTATATAGAAAAATATCATAATTTCAAATATTACTAGCGGCGCAATTTGAAAGTAAAAAATTGAACTCTTAAAGGGTTAAAACTTTGACTACAATACTTTTGTCAAATTCATCACTCAGAATGTTTGAAAGCAATGTTGTAAAGGTACTTTTCAAATAATTTTTTATCACGAAGAAAGTATTAAAACATTCAAAGTTCGTTGGTTTTATCAACAATTGACAAAACTTAATTCTTTATAGCGTGTTTGTTTCACTATGTATCAAAAATAGTATATTACACAAAAACGCAATCTAAAAAATAAAAGTTTGTAAGAATTTTTTTCTTAAAAATTGAGGAGTAGCTCTCCCTTCCCCCTCCCCCATATTGACACGCAGTTTCTAGAAAAAAGCATACATCATTTTTTCATTTTCTTTTAGAATTATTATAGCTTCTTATCACAAATCCATGTAGTTACTTGTTAAGAAATTTCACTTTGGAAAATTGCTTTACATATATATCTTAAGTAGAAAAAGCTTTTTGTAGTCAACATTATTAGCCTCAATTATAAATTTTAATTATCATTCGTTTTAAAGGCCGATATCCAGATTGCAATTTTAACAAAGGCTTCAATGGTTGGAAAAGAAATAGTCCGCTTAAATGGATCATTGTTAATTCTAGAATTCATCCATTTAAAAATCTGTCAGGACCGCCAGGTAAAGTTATTTTTTGCACCTTATGTTTAAATATGTTTTCATGTGACATCAAAGTGGCTAATAATTTCTCGAGTTTTTTTTTAATTATTTAAAAGTGTATTCTTTCAAAAATATAAAACCTTTGTAAAGGAAGGTCAATTATTGATAATTGATCCGCTTCCTTGGATGCTCTTGATAACTTATCAGTAAAAATGTACGGTACTTGCGATACTTGGGTAGAGCAGCTCAATGGTTTGAATCCAGCAAAAGAACATTTTCCATGGGAGCAAGTGAAATTTGTTCTCCAGTAATATGCTCTAACCTTAAGAACAGTACAAGTTATTCATTAATATCATAGTGATGCAGAAATCCAGTTTGGTCCACTACACGTTGTAGAGAAAATTAAGACAGTTTAAGTCTGTACAAACAATTTGTCAGACTTAAAATGCCTAATTTCTTCGTCAATCTACTGTTTTATGGCCAACAAAAAACTTTTTAAGAAGTTGACATATTTGCCCCCATAGAAAGTCTTCTTTTGCTGGATTCAAACCAATGAAACTTGAATAGCACTAACCGACCGAGTATCACATACTTCGTCCGTTTTCACTGAAAAGTTTTCAAAAGTGTCCAAGGAAGCGGATCAGTTATCAATAATTGGCCCGTCTTCAAAAACGTTTTGTATTTGAGAAAGAATACCCTTTAAAATATCTAAAAATCTCGAGAAGTCATTCCTTTCTGCTATATTTTGTCAATAGATTATACCATGTTTGCTTCACCCTGCGATTTTTCAGGTGTGCCGCCTTTGATTTTTGAAAGTATAAACAATCTGTTCCTGATTCTATAATTCAACAAAATTTTTTTTTTGAGTTTCTCTACACACCAGTTGAAGCACAGGGTTACAAAAAGGCTTAAGTAGCTTCTACTAACAAATCAATGTTAGTATCCTAACAGTTAACACTCTCCCACTAACTTAAATTTTTAATTTGATATTTTTATATAATAAAGTAGATTTTCCCTTTCAATCCTTTTCAACTTAATTATAAACCCTATTGCAGGTGTCCAAAATGGCATTGCGGTTGTAGACAACAAAAGTATATTCTACAAGAGGGGTCACACAGCACAAATGTTAAGTTTTCCGATACGTGGTCCTGTTTGCATGAAATTTTTCTTCTACCTGCACGGTAGAGAAACTGGTTTCTTGGAAATCTTAAAAAAACGGCAGTCTTCGTCTGCAAAGGTCATTTGGAGCCGATATGGAAATCATGGTCGAAAGTGGAATTTGGGACAAGTCTTCATAGATTTCTCACTAAACATTGAATATAAGGTACTTACTTTAATTTATTGCAAAATTGCAAAAATCATTAAAGTTTTTGATTTTTTCATGAAATGCATAAAGCATTTGCATGGGGAAATTCGTATGTAAATCTTTTTGACTTTAAACAATTTTCTTTAAACACTGTCCAATACTCTTGGACAGTGGCGTAGCTAGCGGTCCCGCTACTCCCGCAGAGCAAAATTTCCCCCAAAAAATATTCTATTTGGACATGGGATATACATTATTTCACAAAAAAGTTGTAATATTATGTTTTATTCGTTCATTTTCACGCTTTTATTCGGTGGTTCGTAATCGTAATACCGCAAAGACCTTTTAATACGAGTCTAGCGGTTAGTGATTATCAAACTACGAGATCATTGTCGGTATTATATTTCTATTGTGTTTGCTCTCAAATCGTTATTTTGTATTTGTGTATGACACAATGGCTTCATTGTGAGACGGCGATTTGCTCAACGGATGTTGATTTAGTAAATAGCTTGTTAGCTAAACCGTTCTTTGCTTGATCGTCGGTCGAACAGAATGTTATCGTTCATGAACGGCTTACTTCTGACTTAACAATCCAAAAAAAGGGACGAGCATTTCAGAGCGATTGGTGTTAGGTGAAATACTGGCTGTGTGGCAGTACAACCTTGCAGAAAGTTTTTTTGTTGGCCATGTCTAATGTTTTTTCGCAAACATCGCCATCATGGAATAAGAATGGCTACAATGATATGCGGAGTAATATGTCTGATGCTAAGAAGCATGAAAAATCTAAATCGCATTTGACTGCATTTAAGACATGGAAAATATATGGAGCTAGTGAACGATTTGATTGTCTTATGTCTCTCGCGAGAAGAAATGAGATTTAGCGTTGCAATGAGGTAAGACAAAATCGAGAAATTTTAAAAACTGTTACTGAGGCAGTGCTGTATTTGTCAGAGCAAGAGCTGCCATTTAGAGGTCACGATGAGACCGAAGGTAGCTTGAAAAAGGTAATTATAGAGATTTGCTCGAATGTTTTGCTAAGTTTGATTCTGTTTTTGAGCGTTGATTGCACAGTAGACTAGCAGAATCTTATATAGTTGGTGACAGAAGATTCACTGCAGTCCCCCCTGAAATTCAAAATGATCTTATTAGCTGTCTTGATTCAATTATTGAAGATGAAATCAGAAAGGAAATAAATGATTGCACATTTATGAGTATTCATGTTGATGAAGCAACTGAGGCATCTGCCAAAGAGGAGCTAAGTGTTATTGCTCGGTTTGACAAAGCAAGTGAAATTATTAAGAGGCAATTAGGATTTGTGGATGTAAGAATGAACAGAAATGCCACAGCAATATCACAAGATGTCAAAGATAAACTTGGTGAGTATTCTGATATAAAAGAGAAACTGGTTTTGCAAACATAAGATGGTGCTTCTGTCATGTTTGGCCATATCAATGGTGTTGAAGCATTGGTTTGACAAGAGTATCCTTTTGCCCATTTTGTTCATTGTGCAGCTTATAGATTGAACCTGGTCCTATGTCAGTCAGCCTCATCAATTTCTCCTGTTAAAATATTTTTCATTAATATAGGTACATTCAGCACATTTACAAGTAATGCCCCAAACTAAAGCTTTTCTCACATCAAACAACTTTAAGTTTCCTGCCCCTGGTTAAACAAGACGGTATTAGCGCTCTGGGTTAATCAATATTTTGCACAAAAAAAATGAAAAACGTTTAGTTTTTTTTGAGAGGGTACTTGAACAACCATCTGGGTGGGATGATGAGTCATTAAGTAAAATAAGTGGCTTACTGCATAATCTTGATAGCTTTACCTTTTGATTTCTAGTGTCTGTTTTTAACAGGACTTTAAAACAGTCCACAATTTCGTATTCCATTATTCAAAAAAGGGAAACTCCTTTTAATTATGGCATAAGCAAGATTGACAATTTAAAGCAGCTTATTGTATTACTTCGCACAGATCAAGCTTTCACGGAGTTTTACTAAACGGCACTAAAAAAAGTAGGCCCACCAGCAACCAGAGCAGATAGTAGATAAAATTACAAGCTGCTTTATTTTGAGATTATTGATTTCATTAGAGGCATGTTAAGTAAACGATTTCAAGATATTACTCAGTTCGAGTTTTTAGATTTTGTAAATCCTAAACTATTTACTACATGGAAGGGCATAGTTCCACAGAAGAAGATCAATCTTCTTAAAGAAAAGTATAGTCCTCTTTTTGGCATCCAAACTTTGGAGAGTCGACTTTCCTTCATTTACAACGACAAGGACTTTTACAATGAGTGCAGTAATGAGGTGCTTAAATACATCTACAAATTTAAACTCGGTCGAGTTTACGTAGAGTGTTTTAAAATTGAATGGTGTCTTGGCAATGGCAAGTGTTTCAGTAAAGAGGTCATTTTCTTGTTTGAAAAGGTTAAAAAGCTATTTGAGGAATATAATGTGTCAAGGTCTGATTAGCTCTTTGTGTAGAATATCTATTCACAAAGATGTTATTGAACAAAAAGAGGAATCGGAGGTGCTGCGCGATGAGGTGGTTGAAAATTTATTAGAAAAACCTAGGAGGCTGGCCTTTCTTTATAAATGGTGGTTATAGTAAGTGTTTTGATATTTGTTCTTATAATGCATGGTACTTCATTGAAAAAATCAAGTATAACTTTAAAAAATAAAGCCATCCCTGTCTACCTGCCCCCCTCTGACAAGTGTAGACTAGCAAGTGGAATGGTAAGGACAATATCAATCTATGCAATTCAGGAAGTGTCGTTGACTATGTTATTTTTTGTGCTAATCCAAATTTCTTCTGTTTATTCGGGGCAGTGATGAGTTTGATTCATTATGTTTTAGGAGACAATTGTTTCCTACGTAACGTTTTTCTGAGCAACCTTTGCAACCTTTCTAACTAGTTGCAGTTTCGACGATTGTCACATTAACAATGCAGCTAATAAAAACGGGTTTTTATAACTTATTGTACAACAAATAATTTGCCTTCCAAATTGCAGGAAATACTGTTTCCAAAGCTCTAGATTTCAAAGTTTTCTGGGGAAGCAATACCACGAATCACCCTAGTAAGGGTTGTCCCTCGGGCGCGACATGGGTGGCGGGAGTTACTATTTTTCCTGGCTACGCCACTGCTCTTGGGTCAATTTCGTACTTTAAAAAACTTCTATTAAAGAGTTCGTTGAAAAATAGAAAAGTTCATAGAATTTCTTATATCAAGGAATTTTACAAAAGTCTGCGGAAACATTAAACCAATGATTTTATTTCAAAATCCAAAGTTAGCCAAAAAAAGGATAAAAATATTTTACGCATTGCAACCCCATCTTCCTAAAACTGAATTTTTGCAATTGTAAAAACAAAATTTTTACTTTTGTAATAACAAGAGAAAGCTTTTGTCTACTTTATTACCTTCATAAGTAATGCATGATTTGTTTCTAATATTTTTTCGTTTTTAAGAAAAGTGGAAGAATCTTTATCAACTATAAATAACTGATAACGCATAGTGTAATTTCTTTTATAGATAATCGTTTCAGGAAAGATTGGAAATAGCAGAGTGTGGCCGAGCATTGCTATTGATAAAATAAAATTTGAAAATGAACGATGTGTCTCTTTACCTACTGGTAAATACTATATACATAGTAACTATTCAGTTACGTTTCATTTTATATCGACCTTCATTTGTTTAATTTGAGCTCTTTCATTCTGACATTTTTTGAGTATTTTACGATTTCTTTTGCTTTTACAGTGCATAATGAATTCAATTGTCCTTTTAAAACGGAGAATTGTGGCTGGTCAATTCAAGGACCGAAAAGAGTTGTATTCAACAAAGGTCAGACGTTTTAATACTTTGTTCTTATTAGAGTACTTAACACCACATATTTGTGGTTGTAGATCGTCTAGGTTATTAGAGACCTGAGAAGAGCTGTTGTTGTTGATGTTGACTAACATTTCGACAACGTTACCGGTAGTCGTCTTGTCGAAACGTAAGTTAACATAAAAAACAACAGTCTTTCTCAGGACTCTATTAACCTGGACTATCTACATCCACAAACATGCAAAAACACTCCCGGGCTCAAAATATTTACTTTATCACTTAACTTTGTTAACTAATAACTTATTACTTCAATTGCTGAGTTACAACTTAATACATTTATTATGAGAATGAAGTGCACTCAAGCAGGCTACTTTCAATGGTGACGAAACAAATTCGTTGGTGAAAGCGTTTTCTCGTTGAATTTAAAAGTAATTTTCTCGTTGAATTTCAAAGCAGTTTTCTCGTTGAATTTAAAAGCAGTTTTCTCGTTGAATTTAAAAGCAGTTTTCTCGTTGAATTAAAAAGCAGTTTTCTCGTTGAATTTGAAAGCAGTTTTCTCGTCGAACTTAAAAAAAGATGAGTGGTAGCTGGCTGTAGCAATTTTCCAGACAAAGAAAGGGGTTTCTATTTCAGTTTATCTTATACCATTTTTTTGGCGATGACCGTGTTGAAACTTCACTGGTCGAATCTCCCACGAAAGATGTTGATTTTATTGAAAGGCAGTCAAATATACAAACAGATATCTCAAAACATTTGCAAAAACACTTAAACCTAGTATTATTTTAGAGATGAAGTGTTACCCTATCTGCGTCACACTTCTCTCGGTTTCCGGTTTTTAGAATAACGTTCATGGTACACAAACAAGTCAAATTTAAACGCTCACAAAACAATAAAAAGTTTACAAATTTCGTGTGAAATTTGCGTAAAACACTCTCCGTCTTACAAAGTTTTACTTTCTATAAAATAAATAAAGTCATAGTTCCACTTTAATAGATTGACATTGAAAAGCAGTCACCGCTTAATTGTTGCACAATCTTTCACAGCCTGGAAACACTTGTTCTGAATTAGTTATTAATTATGTTGATCAAGAAGCATTGAAAAACTTTAAGATTATAAAATAGCAAAAAATGTAAACAAAAGTTACATGCAAAAAAAATTGGAAGAGATATGTGTCTTTTAAGGTGCTTCGATCCCAAAATTGTACTAAATTATATTTTCATTTTTGAAGTATGTAAAAAATTTCGCTTGTAAAAAAAATCCCTTGATTTTTTTTTGTCCATCACGCACCAAAGCCAAGAGTTTTTTATGAATATTTCAACAGTTGTGAACCAGAAATGTCCAAGCAGACATAAAATGAGAGGTTAAGAAAAAAACTTATATTACGTTAGCAGCGATGGAGGTTGAAGATAATTTCTCTTTCTTGTGGGAATACCACATTTAACGCTGCCAGGTTGTGAATCTTCTTATGAAAAATGTCACAAGAAACGTTTTTATGCGAAAGTGTGTTAAAACTACAAAATGCAATTTTTCTGCAACCTAAAACCCTACCTCAGCTACGGTTTCATGATTGATAATTAAACATCACTATTTTTAACTATATTTGACAACTACGAACATGAATGGATTGCGAGTGATTGCTGTAAGGGAGATTTTCATTCACCTTGAATTTAGAAAAGAAGCCCCAAAAATTAAGAGTCCAGCACTTATCTAGTACTACATGTTTGGCTACTTAAGGTTCGTCGGCAAAAGCTAGCATAGCAAAATGTGTTGTTGACCTTTTGTATCAATGACAAACTAACAAAAATATTCGCTTACCTATCATGCCGGGATTTGTTCTTATCTAATTTTGTTTCTTGAATATGCGCGATGAACAAAAGTTTGTGTTTTCACTATGCAAGTACAAATGCACCTTTCTTAGTTTGCAGCTGAAGACACTGATGGTAGGAAAACTAGACTCTTGAGCAAATATTATTTTTACAGGTAATCCATAATTTCATAAGAGTACAATAGTCCTAAAACATTTAAAATACACGATAAATTTCTTCAGAGTAAACATGTTTCTTTATACTTTATGCCATCTTCAGTGAGAAGTGAATCAATATAGGAAGTTTACATCATAATATGTATATAGTGATAAAGTGGAAGTATCTAATAGTTATAAGTAATCATTTAAAATTTATTAAAGCGATATAATATTTGTGCTAGGTTTAATAAAAGAAAAGAAAAAACTACATGGAAAATGGATAAAAATGATAAAGTAATATTTGCTATTTACAGGTCGAAGATAATGTTAAGATGTTGTCTTTGTTGAGCCTAGGTTAACGTTTCTTGATAGAAAGGGCTTCTTTTTATAAAATATAAAATTGTCCCACTGGTTCGTCTCAGCCACATGCGCTTCAAGGAAAGAAGGAACTCTCTAGTCTCTATAGGCTTCACAATTTTTTGATCATCCCGGCGAAACCTCAGTTTATCATTTTTGTAGACTCAAGAGCCTAACCTGATGAGACTAAGAAGCTTGTCATTAGGCGTTGTGTATGTTGTAAGTGCAATCTGCGATTTCATTAGCCACATAACGTCAGCCTTTTAAGCCACTCATCTTTGAAAGAATTAAAATAGACTTCAATTAAATACTTCATTACAATGTTTTCTTTGTTGGTAATGTTACCTCACGCATGTCCTCTCCAACAAACGAGCTTCTTTAATGAGCCACGAGTTATTGATGTTGTTTTATCAGAAAAGGAAATTGCTAGATTGGAATTAATCAGTTATTGTTAGTTATATTTCCGCTTCTTGAGGTCACAGCATTATTTTCGATGAGATTTCATACTTACTGACGTATGACGTCAATTAATTTATAGCTAATTTAACTATTTTAACTATTTTATAGCTAATTCTTCGCATTTTAAGTTAAATTTTCTTGATTTCATTAAACCACAATCAGCCTTGTGTTTGTGATTCTTGTTCATTTGCTCAATAATATAATAACAACAATCTGCTCAATAATATAATAACGTACGATAATACTCCATTTTAATACTATTTAGCTAACCAAACTTAATGTGAGTAATAATTTGTAAAACACTTTAGTCTTGTTATACTTACGCTAAAGCAATCATAAAATATTAAGTCAAATCTTTCAACTCCTCCTTTCAAACATATAAGTCTTCTGAAAAGCAGAGAGCCTAACTGTTGAGCTCATGATGGTGGTATGAAATATATCAAACAATTAATTGATACAGAAAATATTTAATATAAGTTCACCATAGCGTTAGATGTGCTCGACTCAATTCAGTGGATATAAATTGGCATGCAATGATTAATGAAAAGTTCCAGTGATCAAGTCAGGTTTGTAAAAGAAAATTACAAAGGGAAGTAGGCATTTACAAAGTTTAAGCTAACACCCCCACTTAAACATTAGTTTCTATAGCTACATATAAATGTATTACATCGGTAAACGAAACATAATTATAATTTATTTACAAGAGCTGTTACCAAAATTTTGCTTCTTGAAGGGCAGAACTTAGAGACATGAATTCCGTCTTACATCTGGATAAAGCAACAGTAGGGTGTTTTCTACCTTTCCATGAAATCAAGGGACCAGACATAACGTGAAACATGCTTTGCAGTGTTTGTAAATTGTTCCAACTATGACCGCTCTAATTAAACATATGAAGACACAGAGGTTTCTTATTCACTGGAAAAATACCTCGTTTAAATGTCTCATTTTCTCTAAAAGATTGCCTTTCCTTTTCCATGACCAGTTGCCATTTTTCAAAATAAACAGAGGCCATTACTTCTTTATAAAACTTAGGAGCATCTACAATTCCATAGCAGAAGTTGATGGTGATATTGGTATTGTTTTCCTCAATCTCACTAACACTAAGGTATCGATATTGCTCTAAATACATAGATTTGTATGGTTACGTCTTTGATATCTATTTATGTGCAGGGGCGGATCTAGGATTTTTCAAACATCAGTCATGGAAAGCCGGAGGCGCTCTGCGCTTGGGGGGCTCGGGGCAATCTCCACTGGGAAATTTTGAATTTCAGAGTCTTGGAAATGCTATTTTCAGCGTTTTAGAGCAATACAAAATGTCTTTTGTGGGCATCGTTTTTGCGTAAAAACAACACATTTGGCTTACGTTTTATTGAAAAAAACAACTGAAGTGAACAATACTTGAATGTTTTGCCAAATATTTAAGCTCATTATCATGCCAAATATATGGCTCATTAGCATATCTAGGAACATAAAATTTGTTTTACAATAATGTTATTCCAAAAAAGATATTGTCTTTAAAAATTTCAACCAAGTTGCCAGGCATAGACCAGTCTAGAGACTACCATTCAAACCTCTATGTAATGAGTTAAGTTAGACATTTGGTAATAAGGAACATTTTATTAAATGTAGAAAAGCTCAGACTTCAAACCATGCAAGTTTATTGTAACCTTTCACCCATCTCCACATCAGTGCAGGAGATTCACCTTTTGAGAAATAACTCAAAATTTTTTTCTGCCAAAGATTATCATAGTGAAAATTTGCAATTAAGGACAGCTTAATGCCATAAATGTTTATTAGGCATTTCACTAGACTATTATCTTCTGTAAGTATATGCAAGGTGTGCTATATAGCAATCACCAGTGGCATTGTATTTGCCTATACAAACAGAATATAACCAACATGCCTTTAGTCATATAATTACATGAATGTCAAAATTGGTTCATGGTTCATGCTTACTGGTTATGATAAATATCTTTCATATCATCAAAGTTCATTTAAATGTAAATGTGAAATAATTTAGTTTAGAAATTATAATGATCATCAGAAAAATTACCTAGTGAACATAAAAATTCTTTGCTGTTTTGCCAAATTTCAAGGTTTATCTGCATACATAGGAAGACATTTTTACTTTATAGAAAACGCTTTTCATACATCAATAGCCATTTGGAATTTATAGCAAACAATCTGGTATGAGCCATAGATCAACACACCTTGACATCTCTACATGAGGTGCTCA